TTTTTTTTTTTTTTTAGCAGCGAATCATATTACAATGATTTCTGAAGGATCATGTGACACTGAAGACTGTGGCTACTGAAATTCAGCTTTACCATTACAAAAATAAATTGCATTTTAAAATATATAAGAAAACAATTATTTTAAAATGCAATAATATTTCACAATATTATTGTTAATTAATTAAATCAATGGTGAGCATAAGAGGCTTCTTTCAAAAACATTAAAAGACGTTTGTAGTTTTACTAGTTTGTATACCTTGTCCTTGGTAATTTTATTTATATATATTTTTTTTTATATGGTATTAAAGAATAACTATTGGATTTCTTTTGTAACTACTGTAACTTTCACACTGCAGTAAACACTCTGGGTTTGAGCTCATTACATCCAAGTAATAATTACCTCCTAAGGAATAAAGAGTCAGCGAGACGGAACTCAACCAGACCAGATCAACCAGATCAGGTTAGGTAGCTTATGTTTTTCATCAAACCTTAGATGATAAATGCAAATAATGGGACTGCTTAGTCATGTTTACACCATTACATTATTACATGTTTTTAATGTCAATATTGTGGTAAAATATATCGGATTCCGTAATGGTAAGCACTTAAAGCAAATGAAACTGCAGAACATTATAACACACTTAGAGTAAAATTTATAAGCTACTAACCGTAAACTTTTACCAACATAAAAGCTTTGAATTACATCTGCCCTTAAGATGTATAGATTAAAAGAACATACTATAAACCTGCTTTGATCTTCCCCTCTTTATCAATGTCGGCCAATATAAATGTGTGCTGGTATCCATGGAGAGCTCGTCATTGTCACTGGTCACTGGGCATTATTTTGTGAAGAGCCCTAGTTACCCTTAGTTACCATCTGGGTGACAGAGGAGTCTGAATAACAAACTAAAGAGAAGACATTGTGTGCGTCTCTGAGTAACTACAGCCCTGAGGGCTCACACATGCGCTTCATTTAGCTAAAACTAAAGATTACGTTGGATTATTCACTGTTTTTTCTCTGTATTGCATTACATTTAGGAACAAAGTTGTAACTTTTTTCGCTTTCTAGCACTGGAAGATGAATCCTATTTCTTAGTTTGAAATCTGTCACTTTTCAGGACTGACATTAAGCCGGACAGACTTTACAGTAAGTTTTTTTTCATGATTTTTTTTTACCATTATGAACTACTAATGTTTCAAACATTATCATAATTTGTATGTAAAAAAGGATTTTTGTTTAATGAGAGCACTTCAACAACCGCTGCTGTTTCTTAGCTGTGCGCACAAAAGCCTTTTTAACCGGAGACTGTCATTGAAGCTCTTGATGTGTGTGGGGGGGGAAGCAATTTTTCCCATTATTATGCCTTTGACCATTAAACAAAAATGAGGAATTTATTTCAAATGGTCATAATGATCGCTAATTAAAATAAGTATATTAAAATGATTTTCCTGTCCTTGCTGGTATCTATTTATTATGACTGAGACTAATTGCTCTTCATGGCTTCTTCAAACATAATACAATCTGCTGGTGTTATCTTAGCTGATGAGTAATATGCACTGCTGAAAAAAAAACAAAAACAGAATCATAATCATGTTTCAAAATAAAAAAAATTTTTCATTGTTTTTGTTTTGGAATTTTTCATGGTTAAAATTTGACAGTTGTGAATGAGTTAAAGTTAACATTAAATCAGAGTTGACCCTGTTTGCTTGCACCTGGTTTTATTGTGAATGATTCATTAATGCACATTATTCCAAAAAAATAAAATAAAATAAAATAAAATAACATTCTCAATGGATTGATTCAAGCCCCATCATACCTTTTTTCTTGTTAAATATCCTGTTTTAGTCAGAAATGCATTATAATGCAGAAGAAAAATGGATTGTGAAGGCTGTTGATTTTAATGTAAGTCACTGGTCATGTGAACACAGATCTGAACAAAGCTTTGACAGCTTTGACTTAATCATTAATAGAGATTTCATATGTGATGTGCAAAGGCATGAATGAGCTGGTCTAAAGTAAATATTACCACAGACATCTGGTATGAGAAGAACGGAGACAAGAGGGAGAAGGAGGAATATTTTACTGAAACAAATATATTAAGATCAGTACTTTGATTAAAGAGAGTTTAAGGGAAGGTTTAGAAAATCAAAAAGTTGATACAGAGGTATTCATTAGCAAACAAACAAACAAAAGTTTGCTTACAGAAGTGATTATGATAACATTTCACTTTACATGCACAATAAAACATGTGGAAGCTTATTTCTGCCACAGGATAAAAACAATTGTGAAAAGGGTGATTACTCCTTTTATCTCACAATTTTTCTTGCAATTCTGAGTTTATACCTCACAATTCTGTCTTTTTTTGCTCACAATTTTGAGAAGTCAGATTTGTGAGATAAAAAGTCACAATTACTTTTTTATTACCAGTTTAGCAAGACACCTGCCATGGAGTGTTTTGTGTTTGTTTTCCTCCCCCATGTGCTCCATGACCTAGTTTCTCCCTTGTGTTAATTATGTTTATTGGTTCCAGGTGTTTCTTGTAAGCTTCCTCGTTTAGTTCGTAGTATTTATGCCCTGTGTTTTCCTTTGTCCAGTGTCTAGTGTTAAACATCCTTAGGTTCCTGTGCTACATGTGTATTAATAAATTCTGTTATTTCTGTACACTCCGATGTCTCCTCGCTCCTCATCTCCGACACAGTAGCAGCAGCACTGTGCCAGAACACTAGACCGACAAACAGTAAGCTTCACCCCTTCTCCCCGTGTTTTTGTTTCCTTTTTTTAAAAGTGTTTTGTTTCCCGTTTTCCCCCCCGCGATCATGGAAATCGCCGCAAAATTCGCCGTCCTCGCCCGTAGGGATCTCCCCTTCGTAGAATTCTCCTGGGAATTCTGTGGGCTCACGGCAATGACAGTGTTTGGATGACGCCACACTGAATCCTTTGTTCTGGATTGGGGCCAATTACCATCGCCCTGTCGACCTCCCAGACACCACTGGACTGAGCTGGAGGGAAGGGATCCTCAGGAGTCTGGAGAGTGTTTGGCCCTGATTAAGAACCAGCCCACGGTCAAGCCCGCCGGACGCTCCGAAGTCAAGCCCGCCAGCCGCTGCACTCTTAAGCCCGCTGGACGTTCCATTGTCGAGCCCGCTGGCCAATTCCCTCCCAGGCCCTCAGCTGACAGCAGCCCGCTCCTTAACCCCAAACCAGAGGAGGATTATGCGGAGAAAAGGACTGTTAGCTCTAGCCCCTGAATCTGCTCCTGAAAGGGCTCCAGTTCCCACGTCCAGACCAAGGAGGGCTCCAGTTCCCATGTCCAGACCAAGGAGGGCTCCAGTTCCCATGTCCAGCCCAAAGAGGGCTCCAGTCCCCAAGTCAAGCCCAGAGAGGGCTCCTGCTCCCAAGTTAAGCCCAGAGAGGGCTCCTGTTCCCACGAAGTCCAGAGAGGGCTCCTGTTCCCAAGCCAAGCCCAGAGAGAACTTCTGTTCCCACGTCCAGCTCAGAGTGGGCTCCTGTTCCCAAGTCCAGCCCAGAGAGGGCCCCTGTTCCCAAGTCAAGCCCAGTGAGGGCTACAGTTCCCGAGTCAAGCCCAGGGAGGGCCACTGCTCTTACGTCAGGCCCACGGAGGGCCTCAGAACCTGAAAGTTTCCCCAAACGTTTTGGTAACGGTACGGTTCACTTGGAACCCCAACCGAGGTGGTACTAAAAAAAGTACCAGGTACCAGGTACTGTGCCCAGTGGAAACCCCCCAAAAAGTGAACCATACCGAGCCGTACCGTGCCGTACCATGCAGTAGAAAAGCGCCATAAGTTCCCTGCTCCACCATGGCTCCCTAGTCTGCCTGGTCCGCCATGGGTCCCGTAATGGGTACCACTCTGGCTCCCGGTAATGTCACGCCCATGGACTGTTTTGTGTTTGTTTTCCTCCCCCACGTGCTCCATGACCTAGTTTCTCCCTTGTGTTAATTATGTTTATTGGTTCCAGGTGTTTCTTGTAAGCTTCCTCATTTAGTTCGTAGTATTTATGCCCTGTGTTTTCCTTTGTCCAGTGTCTAGTGTTAAACATCCTTAGGTTCCTGTGCTACATGTGTGTTAATAAATTCTGTTATTTCTGTACACTCCGATGTCTCCTCACTCCTTGTCTCTGACACAGTAGCAGCAGCACCGTGACAACACCTTACTAATTAATATACACAATTTTTTAAATCAAATTACAGTAGAATTCAGGCTTGCAAATACTTCAGTAATATTGTTTGATAGCAATACCCCCTGTCCATAGAGTTAAACTGATCTGAGGATCTTTTGTGTGACTATATAAATATAAATAGGACAGTGAAAAATTATTTACTTAATTTAGATGGGTTTATTGTGTATCAGCAACCCTGATCAGTTACACCAAGGCCAACAAAATGTGATTAAAGACCAGACACCTATAGTTTATATGTGATCAATTACAAGCTAATAGGGCTGATGGAACAGACAGATTTAGAGTTTTAGTGGCAGTGCTTCTATTTTGCTTTATTTAAGTCCATTACTCATTCAAAATGACCCAAACAGACTGAAAGCAGCTTCCTCACGTTTGACTGATGAACACTGTGGAGGAAGTGCTTCATCAAAGCTAGTATCTCTTGGTCCTTTCTCTCTCTCGAGTGATGTTGGAAAGGCCTGTTGCATAAAAGCGTTCTGACCATGTTACATGTGTCTTTAAAAACTTTAAAAAAATGATTGGGTGTGTAAGTAATGTAAGATTGCCATTCTGCTGAAGACCATATTGTATTAATTTTCTAATCTTCACAGAAGCCTGTCACTGGTTGTCCTTGGTAGTGTTATGTATGTATGTATGTTTGTATTTATTACACACTATTTTTAATTAACAAATAATTAATAACACTAAATTTATTAATTTATTTTTCTTTTATTTAAGTTTCAGTTTGAGACATTTTGTTATGTGCTTTTGTAATTTTTAT